ATAAAAGAATATTAATTGGAGCTTTAAATTAGTAAAAATGATTAAGTAGTACTCCTCATGATTTCGATCCAGAGTACACTCCTACCCACCAATTAAACAAATGACTATCAGGAACGAAATAATCCTTTCCTTTTTTTTTTTCAGAAGGAAGAATAGGAACAAAAAAAGAATATAATTACAATAGAAAAAAAAGATCCTTTTTATTCTTTCCTATATCGATATTCATAGAAATCGAATTCGTGTCATAATTCATGAACTAATGGAATGTCTAATTCTTTTTCGTAATCGAAAATGATAGGTTGAAATATTTATTGGTATTTCTACAAGGAGTATTTTATTGAAAGATTAAAGTTATCGCTCAAGAAAGAAAAATTTAAATTCTTAAAAGATGAGATCAATTCAGAAGTACTTTATTTTAGTATTACAACAGATAGAATTACATTTGTTAAATTTGGGAATTGAGGGGCATTTGATAGATTTGGATCCTATCTATCCTTCAAATATATCAAGATAAATAATATGATCTAGCCCTTAGATTTTTTTTATGGTCTTCGATGAGCCATATGAGGTGAAAAGCTCATGTATGGTTTTGTAATAGCGATGGGAACGGTGATGTCATCACCGACTATGATTATCTAATAGTTCGAGTACAGTTGATATAGTTGAGGCACAATCAAGATATGGTTTTAGGGGATGGAATTTATGGCTTCAACCTATAGGATTTATCACTTTTCTAATTTCTTCCTTAGCAGAATGTGAGAGATTACCTTTTGATTTACTAGAAACAGAAGAAGAACTAGTAGCAGGTTATCAAACCAAATATTTGGGTATCAAATTTGGTTTATTTTATGTTGCTTCCTATCTAAACTTATTAGTCTCTTCATTATTTGTAACAGTTCTTTACTTGGGCGGTTGGAATATTTCTATTCCGTACATATCTGTTCCGGAGTTTTTTGATTTTGAAATAAATAAAGTAGGTAGAGTCTTTGGAACAACAATGGGGATCCTTATTACATTAGTTAAAACTTATTTGTTCTTGTTCATTCCCATCACAACAAGATGGACTTTACCTAGACTAAGAATGGACCAACTATTAAATCTTGGATGGAAATTTCTTTTACCTATTTCTCTCGGCAATCTATTATTAACAACCTCTTCCCAACTCTTTTCACTATAAAGTAATACTTTTCGATATTTACAGTTTGTCTCAAATAAGATAAAGAAACAAATATGAAATTATTCATAGAGATTCACGATATGTTCCTTATGGTAACTAGGTTTATGCATTATGGTAAACAAACCATACGAGCTGCAAGGTACATTGATCAAATTTTTATGACTACTTTATCCCATGTAAACCATTTACCTATAACTATTCAATAGCCTTATGAAAAATTAATAACATCGGAGCGTTACCGTGGTCAAATCCATTTTGAATTTGATAAATGCATTGCTTGTGAAGTATGTGTTCGTGTATGTCCTATAGATTTACCTGTTGTTGATTGGGAATTGGAAACTCATATTCGAAAGAAACGGTTGCTTAATTACAGTATTGATTTCGGAATCTGTATATTTTGTGGCAACTGCGTTGAGTATTGTCCAACTAATTGTTTATCAATGACTGAAGAATATGAGCTTTCTACCTATAATCGTCACGAATTGAATTATAACCAAATTGCTTTAGGTCGTTTACCAATGTCAGTAATTGACGATTATACAATTCGAACAATTTTGAATTCACCTCAATCTGTACTCAAAATGGGTAAACCTCCTTTGATTAAAGAGTCATTTTTAATAACTAAACAAAGATCTAGGTTTCATCTAAAAGTCTGAAATGTTTTTTTTTCATTTTGTTTGATCAATAACTACAAAAGCTACAAATCCCAACTAGTGATTGGATTTGATTGATTGGTAAGAATTTCAGCGCAGCTTAATTTGGATTGAAAATCTATTAATATAGTCATAATTCTATCCATAATTATTTCGAAATAGAAATAATAAAGTGTCAAATTTTCTTTTTCGAGAAAGAATGAGATTAGTCCAACTCTTCTTACCAAACAAGTAATTGTTAGTAAAGTTGTTTCTTTTTTTCTTCAAATCCAAAGACTTTACTTTATGTGTAGGTTATCGATTCAGCATTAGATAGGAATGGTACCCTTTTTTTAAAAAAAAAAGGGTTTAAATCCTTTTTCGACATGAGTGTTCTATACCGAAAACAATTTCCAACTATTCATCTTGAATCCTTTTATGTATGTATTAACATACTAGTAGAAAGAGTAACCTGCTCTGTCTGGACTTCAAACAGTTTAGCTTTAAACCATGTTAATGGTCCCACGTTATTGGTTGATAGAGAATCAAAATCTATTTACCAATGAATCACGAAATGCTATGGTTCTTAAAGATGATTTCTTAATTTATTCAGGAGTAATTCGCAGGATCATGCACCTTTTCTTTTCTAGTTAAATTTCCTAGTTTAAACGAAAAAAAAGTGCAGCTGGTTCAATCCAGCCTATTCTTGGAATAAAAAACTCGCACGCACTCCCTTTCCAAAAAAAAAAAAAAATCAATACACCAAGTATTACACTTAGATTTATTGGATTTGTTGCTTAAACTATCAATATTAAACCGGGAGCTTCTTATATACATGTTAAGCTGTCTTATGGTTATATTTGTCAAACTCTTTCTTCAATTCAATTAGATATTAATGTAAATGAACCATAACTATGTAGTCCTATTCCTAATAAATTAACCCAAAAATAGCATATCCAGATTATAAGAAAAATGATAGAAGCGACAATTGTAAAATTTAAACCTTTCAAATTCTTATTTGTTCGAGTATGGAAATAAATCATGAATATGGTCCAAGTAATAAATGCCTAAGTTTCTTTTGGGTCCCAATTCCAATATGATCCCCATGCTTCATTAGCCTAGACTGCTCCTAAAAGAATACCTATGGTTAAAAAAAGAAACCCTATACTAAGAATACGAAAACCCCAATGATCTAATTGTTGAATCAATTGAAACTTCTAATAATTCCTATAAGAAGTTAATAAAAGTATTTCTTAAAATACTGCTTTTTTCATTATGTATTGGATCTCATCAACTGAAAATGAATCAATTAATCAATTAATAAATTCTTGTGTTTACCAAAAATTATTATGACAATGATGGAAATACATTGGGGATAATTATTGAATAATCAACCGTCTCTAGGTTCATCTCGAAGTACCATTTGTACAAATAAGAATCCCCTTCGTTACATGATTTCTTCTTCATATAGATAGATATAGGATCTATGGGGCAATTACTTAGAAATACATTTTGTGCAACAGCCCTTCCTATCTGATAGAAAAGGATCCCATGATCCTGAACCGATCTTACCCGGGATCACAAATCCCAAGTTTGTCTATGAAGAGCGAGATCGAATTATATTAGTGTCTAGAATTGATTTCTTCTAAACCTTTTTGATTGGATGGGAATGAATGAAGAAATACTAAATCGTCCCATATCAAATTTAGAATTTTGGTTCTTTCCAAAATTTGTGATACTTTACAACGCATATAAGATAAAATCATGGGTGATACCAATCAAATTACTTCTTTTAAATTTTAATGGCAATAAAAATGTTAGTGAAAATAAAAAAATCAATAGAAAGAAAAATAATGATCCTTTTATATCATCGAATGAAACAAAATCTATTAAATTAAAGAATCAAAATCACGAAGAAAAAGAGTCTGAGGATCAAGTAGATCTTGAATCAGTTCTCGCAAACCAAGAAAAAGATGTTGAAGAAGATTATGCAAGATTAGACAGGAAAAAAGTGTAGAAAGAAAAAGCAATTCAAAAGTAATATGGAAGCAGAACTTGATTTCTTGCTAAAAAGGTATTTATGCTTTCAATTAAGTTGGGATGATTCTTTAGATAAAAAAATAATCAATAATATCAAAGTATATTGTCCCCTGCTTAGACTAACAAATCTACGAGAGATTATTGTATCCTCTATTTAAAGGGGGAGTTGAGTCTAGATATTCGATGATTCGAAAGATTTAACTACGATAGAATTGATGAAAAAAGGAATATTGATTATCAAATCAACCCGTCCGTCGATAAAAAAAGATGAAAAATTTATTATGTATCAAACCATAAATATTTTATTAGTTCATAAGAGAAAACAACAAATTAATCAAAGGTACAAAGAAAATAGCTATATTGATAAAAAGAATTTTACCGAATCTATATTAATAGATCAAGAGATATATATAGATATCCTTATAGCTATCATTAATATTCCGAACATCAATGTACAGTTTTTTCTTGAATCACCAATGAAAAATTATTAATAAATATATTTATCTGTATAATAAAAAAGAAAATCACAAAAGAATTGATGAAACAAATCAAAATACACTAATTCATTTTATCTCGATTATAAAAAAGGCATTTAATTATAGTAATATTAATAAGAATTCACAGATTTTTTATAACCTAACTTGAAGCATTTCATTTGTCTATCATTATAGACAATACTATCCATATTATCTATGGAATTTGAACCCGAATTCTATTTACAATTCATTATTTCTATCCCATAGGCCTTTAATTTCTTATTTTAGCATATCGGTTTACACCTAGATATTATTATTATTATTTTATAATTTACTTTTTTATTAATAGATAAGTTTCGCATGTTTTCACATCTAAGATTTACATATACAACATACATTACTGTCAAGAGGAGATTTCTTATTATTTAGATATTTTTATTCAAAAACGTTAAGGATTAGAAACCCGAAAAACAAGGATTTGGGTTACGCCATACATATGAAAGAGTATAAAATAATCATGTATTTGGTGAGTCAAATACCATAGTCTAATAATGAAATTCTAATTAGTTGATAATATTGTATTGGTTGATAACTTTATGAAAGATTCATGTGAAAGGTTTTATTAACTCCTAATTCTTATCAAGTAGACCTTATTCTTGTGAGAATTCTTAATTCATGACTTATAAGGAGGGGCTTATGTCACCACCAATGGAGACAAAAGTAAGTGTTGGATTCAAGGTCTGGTGTTAAAGATTATAAATTGACTTATTATACTCCTAACTATGCCAAAGATACCGATATCTTGGTAGCATTCCGAGTAACTCCTCAACTTAGAGTTACGCCCGAGAAAGCGAGGGTCGCGATAGGCTGCTGAATCTTCTACTATTACATGGACAATCGTGTGGATCGATGGGCTTACCGGTCTTGATCGTTATAAAGGATGATGCTATGACATTGAGCACTGTTGATGGAGAAGAAAATCAATATATTGCTTATGTAGCTTACCCCTTAGACCTTTTTGAAGAAGGTTTTGTTACTAATATTTTTACTTCCATTGTGGCTAATGTATTTGGGTTCAAAGCCCTACGCGCTCTACGTTTGGAGGTTTTGTGAATCCCTCCTTCTTATACTAAAACTTTTTAAGGCCCACCTCAAGGCATCCAAGTTGAGAGAGATAAATTGAACAAGTATGGGGCAATTAGAATTCATAAATGAAGTAATGAATAAATGAAATAGTTAATGATGGGGTTACTATTATCCTTTTTATAGTGATGAATCTTGTATGTGTTCCTAAGAAAAGGAATTTATCCATTTTTTGGGTCTCAAAGGGGTGTGGAAACACATAAGAAATCTTGAATGGACAAGTAAAAATGATGTAACTCCATTTCCTTCGAAAATGGTAAGATCTTTGGCGTAAGAAGAAAGGGTTGATTTGTATCATCTTAACTTGGTTGGATTGTTAGTGTGGATGATTTGGAAGATATAATTGGGGGGCATATATGGTTAGGTTCCATTTGTATACTTGGTGGAATCCGGCATATCTTAACCAAACCCTTTGCATAGGCTCGCCTTGCACTTGTATGGTCTTATAGTTTAGGCGCTTTATCCGTTTTTGGTTTCATTGTTTGTTGCTTTATCCGGTTCAATAATATCACTTATCCTAGTAAGTTTTATGGGCCTACTTGGACCAAAAGCTTCTCAAGCTCAAGCTTTTACTTTTCTAGTTAGAGATCAATGTCTAGGGGCTAACGTGGGATTCGCTCAATGACCTATCGGCTTAAGTGAATATCTAATGTGTTCACCCACTTGGAGAAGTTATTTTTAAAGGAGAAACTATGCATTTTTGGGATCCGTACGCTCCTTGGTGAGAACCTCTAAGAGGTCTAAATGGTTTGGACTTGAGTAGGTTGAAAAAAGACATACAACCTTGGCAAGGATGACATTTTGTAGAATATATGACCCATGCGTATTTAGGTTCATTAAATTCCATAAGTGGCATAGTTATCGAGATCAATGCAATCAATTATGTCTCTCTTAGAAGTTGGTTAGCTACCTCTCATTTTGTTCTCGGGTTCTTCCTATCATAGGTCATTATGGCATGCGAGAAGGGCTCGTGCAGCTGCAACAGGATTTGAAAAAGGAATTGATCATGATTTTAAACCCGTTCTTTCCATGACTCCTCTTAGCTAGTTGAGAAAAGAGATCCAATAGTTGAAGTAGAAACCAATTTGATTCTATTATACATATTGATTAGGTAGATCGAGTCATACTTAGAGAGTCCGCCTTTTTCCTTTCTTTTCAACTCATTTAGATTTAGATCTAATTAAAATGATCCTTTCCTTTTCTTTTTCTTTTTTTTTTAGAAGGAAAAATAGGAACAAAAAAAGAATATAATTACAATGAAAAAAAGATCCTTTTTATTGTTTCCTATATCGATATTCAAAGAAATCGAATTCGTGTCATAATTAATGAACTATGGCATGTCTAATTCTTTTTCATAATAAAAAATGATAGGTTGAAATATTTATTGGTATTTCTACAAGGAGTATTTTATTGAAAGATTAAAGTTATCGCTCAAGAAAGAAAAATTTAAATTCTTAAAAGATGAGATCAATTCAGAAGTACTTTATTTTAGTATTATAACAGACAGAATTACATTGGTCAAATTTGGGAATTGGGGGGCATTTGATAGATTTGGATCCTATCTATCCTACAAATATATCAAGATAAATAATATGATCTGGCCCTTAGATTTTTTTATGGCCTTTGAGGAGAATGAAACTTGACTTTTTAGTTCTTATCAATATCAAGAATTAACGAAATAAAATGAAAAGAATTACAAGTTTGCGCTTTACCTTAAATAAGCGAACTAGAATCAACGAGATTCTATGAGATTAGATAATATGGTAGAAAGTAATATATATTACTTTCTACCATACTATCTATTTTTGTTATTCTAGTATATAAAGTTGTACTGTAGAAAGATGTGGGCTTAATATAGATCAATCTAGAATGTCATCTTCATATTCATAAATAGATATATAGATAATAGATATTAATTATCTATATGGAATGTACATAAGGTTCAAATTTGATTTCTTTTCTTCATATATTTGATTTGTGTTGGTTCCAATTAATCTGGAATAGTTGAAAGGCGCCTCTTATTCTTATGATTTTAATTCCTGGATTTCTTATTATTTTCAATATGAATCCCAGAAATCCATTGAAATAATCAAATCAATGAAAAGAAAAAGAAAAAAAGAACAAGTAAGAAATTTTGAATATTTTGACCAATTCAAAGTGAAAAATGAGGTTGCTCCCTCGGTAAAACTAGGACAAAGTTCAACGAAAAGATCTCGGTTCAAGATAAATCCATGAGGGAGTGGGATCTCTTTAGGATCTACTCCAGCATTTAGAAATTTGTTAATTGGTAAAGATACATGTACTTGATGCCCCGCCCAAGAAAGAGACCTAAGCCCTAGCAGCACCTGCTAAATGGTGATTTAACATAGATTTAAAGGATCTTTCGTGTATAATCCTATATAATCTCGAATGTTATCGGTTCCAGTGTGTAGACCAAATAATACAATGCAAGCAAAAGTTCCTAGAAGTTATCGCTCAAGAAAGAAAATTTTAAATTCTTAAAAAATGAGATCAATTCGAAGTACTTTATTTTAGTATTATAACAAACAGAATTACATTAGTCAAATTTGGGAATTAGAGGGCATTTCATAGATTTGGATCCTATCTATCCTACAAGTATATCAAGATAAATAATACGATCCGGCCCTTAGATTTTTTTATGGCCTTCGAGGAGCCATATGAGGTGAAATCTAATGTATGGTTATGTAATAGCGATGGGAACAGTGATGTCATCATCGACTATCCTTATCTAACATTGTTGGAAGGTTTGGCACCTCGATGTCGGCTCTTTGCCACTTGGGGCTATAGTATGTTCCAAGGGTTTGGCTATTCGCCCATTAAAGTGGTATGTGAGCTCGGGTTCAAAACGTCATGAGACAGTTCGGTCCATATCTAATGTGGGCGTTAGAGCATTGAGAGGACTTTTCCCTAGTACGAGAGGACCGGAAAGGACGTACCTCTAGTGTACCGGTTATTGTGCCCACGGTAAACGTTGGGTAGCCAAGTGCGGAGTGGATAACTGCTGAAAGCATCTAAGTGGCAAGAGCACCCTAAGATGAGTGCTCTCCTATTTTGACTTCCCTAGAGCCTTCGGTAGCATAACCGAGATAATAAGTTTTGAGAATTCAAGAGAAGGTCACGGCGAGACGAGCCGTTTATCATTACGATAGGTGTCAAGTAGAAGTGCAGTGATGTATGCAGCTGAGGCATCCTAACAGACCGGCAAACTTGAACCTTATTCTTACATGACCCGATTAATTTGATTAGGTACTCGTCGTCTATTTTTATTTTTCAACTCTTTGACAACATGAAAAAAAAACTAAAAGATCTCGCTCTTCCTCTCTATCGACCTAAATGATAGAAAGGTAGAGGCCTTTGGTGTCCCCTCTAGTCAAGAATTAGAGCCTCACAATCATTAGCCAATATGCTTTTCTCTCATGCCTTCCATCATTTGAAGCAACATGGTGCCTAATTAAACCATGAATTACAAATGTCCGGAAAAGCTCTATTGCTATTTTGTGAGGTAATCCACATCGATGTAATGAAAGTAAGAGGCCTATAAAAATGACGGAACACCCCAAATAATCAACCCATTTTCCAAGCATAGTCTCACGAAACCTTCCCTCTTTGCCTTCAATTACATCCGAAAATGATTTATAAACCTTATTATGATCGTCTCTCATTGGTTGTCCGTGGATTCCATTATCGGGAAGTGTATCTACGGCTTCTTGTACCAATTTCTCCCGACACATTACTAATTCCCCGGTGTATATCTACTTGTTATTAATAGATCCGTAAGAGTATTATTCGATAAATAACTCTTCTATAAAGTTCATTAATATTTGAACTCATTAGTTTACCTCTATCTATCCGAATGATGGGTCTCAATTCAAGAGGAAGAACCGTAATAGACATAAACCATCCATTCCGGTTCCATATTTGCTCGAATAAAATGCTTAGCTAATTCCATGCTTCTAACTAAAAAATCCTTTCTTCTTTCAACTTTTCGATCTTCTCATTCATTCCCGGTGGGTCCTTCTTCCCCTAATTCTTTCCATTCTACCGACGAATAATCTAGAATAATTCACAAATCCAGATTAGCTAATAGTTCTTGAATAGCATCGACTCCAAGTAGAAATTTCTTGATTTGGAAATGTATTGAACCCTTGGGTAGTAAAAAAAATGAAATATTGTATTTCCAAGATTGTATTTCAAATTCGAATAAGCCTCGTAATCGTAAGAAAATATGTTTTTTTACTATAGGCCTAGCAAAAGAAAAATAGGATAGGATCCTATAGGATCTCCCCTTCAAAATCGAACGTGAAAGTTTCTTTTCATTCGGCTTAAGTAGTTACACCAAATAAAGATAAAATAAAGGGTTCCTGCTTTCAAAATGGATAAAACCCAAAAAGGAGCCACTCCTTACTCAAGTTCCCAATGAAGACCAAGCAACATTTCATTGATTCATTCTTCTTTTCCGTTTTTTTTTAGAATTTCTGAATTCTTTATTCAATTATCATAATTACGACCTAAATGCAATGCAAAAATCTTTAGTCTACTTCCCTTTGGATGATGAATTCCAAGATACTAGGAATTCAAGGGATTTACTTGTTTATATCTTTTTCCATTCGCTCTTTTAGGTCCCAAACTCGACTTGACCTCGACAATTATGCTACGATGCTATTAAAGCCTATATGCGATGTATAGACTCTTGCAACCATGACACATTTACTTAACTTGAGTATAAATATAATTTTTTTCTAAAATAAAAATATAAAGAAAGAAAATGATTAATTCCATAAAAGAAAAAAGAAAGAAGTTTTTTTTCATGAGGTACAACTAGAAATTCCTATTTATTTGTTACTGAATCGACCATAGACCAATTCCACTTTTATTGGGGAGTATTTAATACATCCATAATTCTGAGCTTCATGTTACTCCTCCCAAGAGACATGTCAGATCCAAGGCAT